CCTCCCCCTCCTGGCACGTCCACAGCCCTCGCTCCTGCTTTCTCACCACCCTGATGTCCTTGTGCCAGCCTCGCCCGGCACCCCTGTGTCCTTTGGGGGCAGATGTCCTCAGGGGGACCCACTTGCTGACCTCAGGCCTCTCCAGGGCCCGGGTCCTGCTTCGGGCGGCGGTGACCCCAGACAGCCCGCACTGGGCCCTGAGCCACCTGACACGAGAGCTGTCAGGGGCAGGAGTTGCAGGTGCCACACCGGCGTCCACTTGTTCTCCCTGTGCTGACCTCAGGAGACCAGAGAGCCCTGGGCCAGCCTGGGTTTGTTCTGGCCCTTGGGATTTCCCAGGGCAAGGTGCAGAGTCCGGAGCTTAGGAGGGGCAGGGTTGAGCTGCTCCTGCTGCGTCTTGGGCTCTTCATCCGGAAGGGCTTCAAAGTCCACAGCAGGGACCTGGGGCACCGGAAAGTTGGGGTGGCCATCATCACCACCGCCTGGCAGGGTTCCCTTGCTCACCTGGCCCTGGCAGGGAGCCAGACGTGGGGCACCCCGTGGCATAGTGCCCAGGGCCAGGTTGCAAGAAGTCTGCCGGACCGGGTCTGCAGCTCCAGCTGCTGGGTCACCAGAGACAGCAGGGTGGCCTGGAAGCAGGCCTGGAATCAGCCCCAGGCAGGTGCTTATCGAGAAGGGCCCTCAGGCCAGGGAGCAGTGTGGCCCTTGCACTCAGGGAGTATCTCAAGGCTCAGGGAAGGGAGCAGTGGCCTGTGGGGGCAGCTGGCAGCGCCTGCTGTCTCCCCAGGAGTGGCCCAGCCTGCCTGGTTGGGCTGCGCCCAGAACCCTTTCCAGGAGCTCAGGCTGCTGTGGAGCTCTTCGGCTGCCTCGAGGGAGCACCGAGCCCTTGCTGGGGCTGGGCCGGCTGGTCCCTCTGTCCTGGGCAGGTGATGGGCTTTGAAGCTGGGCTCTAGGGCAGGACTTGGTGGGTGGAGGCTTTGCCCTGCCTACAGGGTGGCACACTGGGGCAGAGGTACAGCTGTTCAGAGCTGAGTGTCGGGAGGGGCAGAACCCGGGACCTCTGCCTTATATGCTTCCTCCTTCCAAGTGCAGTGCGTCAGTTTCTCTGTCTGTGAGTGTGGCCTGTGCCCTCTTAGGTAGCCAGACCTGGGCCTACCCTGCGGCCCCAGGCTGCCCTTGGTGGGGAGACAGGGTCCTTGTCACTGAGTAGCCGGGGTGCAGGGTCTCCCCGTGTCCCCACTGAAGAGGAGGCTCAGGCTACAGGGAGAGCCTCAGGCCTAGGGTGGGTATCCAGGCCGTGACATGACAAGGGGACATGGGGCTGGTGTTAAGGGACTGAGGCTGGGCCCCTGCAGCCCCCAGGTGGTTCTGGACCTGTGCCGCCTGTCTGTAACCAGATGCCCCTGTGGCCACCTGCCTGCCGCCCCGCCAACCAGGACTCTCCTCCCCCTCCTGCAGCTCATGCGCAGCTGTTGCTATGGAGATGGGGAGCAGCCCGGCCTGTTGCTGCAGTTGCAGTGGTGGAGGGGCCCGGTGGCACCTAGGCAGGGACCCGGCCTCTGGTTCCCTTCACCCTGGGGGTGTGGCCCTGGGGCACCCGCAGCACCTCCTTGCTGGCCCTGGCCCGGATGCTGGTTGGGAAGGGGGTGGAGGCTGGCACTGGCTGGGGCGGGCGTGGGGTGCGGACACACAGCATGGTGTTCCAGATCACAGAGCTCTATTGTCAGAGCACCCTGGACACAGCTGGCATGGGCTGGAGCAGCCACGCAGAGCACTGATGTTTCGGGTGGGGTGAGGGTGGAGGGAATCCGGGGCCTCTGTGAAGACCCAAGGGCCCCCTCTGTCCTGTGGGTCGGGGGCTGGTCTGGAGCGGCTCCCGCCGAGCCTGGCCAGCCCCCTGGCCTGGGCTGGGGTGGATCTGGTATGGGGAGTCCTTCCTTTTCCAGTGGAACGGGGGAGGAATCCTGGCCTTTCTCTCCACCGGGCTCACCTTGCAGCCCAGTCCCAGGTGGCAGAGGTGGCAGGGTGAGAAGCCAGGGCAGAGAGGGGCCCCTCAGCCTCGGGGACCAGGTCTTTCCGGAGGCTCAGGGCCCTAGCTCGGGCTGGGCCTGCCCACACCAGGCCTTGTCTGCCCTCCCCTTCGTGGGGGAGGAGGGTGCCCTGTGGGTGTGCGGCAGCTCAGGCAGGTGGACTGCATGTGGCTTCGATGGCTCC